GGAGATGAGATGACAGATGTACTATAAACAATATTACTGTTTGTATCAGACACAAAGTTTAAATTGATACTTCCGGCGCCGTCTCGGATGGCAGCCTGTCTAACATGCTCTCTACAGTTGAAAATTACTTTCCTATTTTGGCGGCTCAGGTCCTTTAATGTTTGTAGGAAAATGCTGACAATGTTCTGTCACTCTGTGGTAGAGAGTGTTGTGTTCTTTGCAGCTGTGTGCTGGGGCAGCGGGGTGAAGACAGCCGATGCCTACAGGCTGAACAAACTGATTAAAAAGGCTGGTTCTGTCCTGGGTGTCAGACTGGAGAACCTAGAGGAGGTGTCCGAGAGGAGAATGCTAAAAAGGCTTCTTTGTATCATGGACAACCCCTCCCACCCCATGCACGCCTCCATGATGGACCATCGGAGCACACGCAGCAAAAGACTCACTGCCCCGAAATGCAGAACTGACGGCCACAGAAAATCCTTTGTACTGGAGGCAATAAAATTATACAACTCTTCCTCACTCTGTAGGTGATTTTCCTGAGGATTAATAAAAAGCTATTCTGTTTCCATTCAGACCGTGCAATATCACCCAACAGTTTTTTCATTGAATGTTTGTTTCATCTCCCCATCATATGCTGCTACTCTTGTATCCATTTGCACAAAACTATGTCACTTTTGCAATCACCTGCACTGATAGCTAAGCTAAGATCTAAGCTATTTATTTTTCAGGATATAGTTATACTGTTACTTGCTACAGTTATTCGATATTATATTTTGCACTATCCTACTGCATATTACTGTATACTTGTATTCTATTGTACATATTGTATATCTTATTACTCTGTTCCTGTCTCTCTTGCTGCATTGTGCATGTGTATGACAAAAGAATTTCCCTCGGGATAAATTAAGTTCTTCTTATCTTATCTTAAATGGTTTTGGAAGGAAGAGAAGACGAGCTTTAGAGGAGTATTTGGTACAGCTCAATCCAATAGAGCATATTTGGGATGTGATGGAATGGCAGACCGACATCATGAATCTGCAGCAACATTGCTCAGCAAAATTCCTGAGCAATGTTTCCAGCAACTTGTTGAATTTGTGCAGTGATATTGTGAAATTATATCTGAGGGCAAAAGTGGGCAAATCCAGTTTTAACAAGGCGCATCTAATAAACTGTCTGGTGAGTGTGTCCTTGTGTGTATGTGCTGCCATATTCTGGTGCAACGGTTAAGTCCATGCACATTTATACTTTTTCCTTATTCATTGAATTGAGTGAATGCATTAAACAGTGTGCACTGTCTCCACTTAAATAATGTTGCAATAGAAGTATCTATAATTACATAAACCCCCAAACTACGTGACCGCTGCACACAGGTTTGATGGTTGTGTCTGGATCAGACCTAAATTCCAGGAATTCTCCCGTCTTTGGTCCCGTCCAGCCCTCGGAGGCTCTTGGATTAATAAAACCAACACTGTGGCTCGTTCACACGCCGGGATGACACCGCAGCAGAGGAGAAAAGTTAGCTCGGCACAGAGAAGCATTCAAACATCTGGATTTTTTTCAAGACACCAACAAATTTAACCTGGAAACAAATAAATGAGCCACCAAAACTTTGCACTGCACAGACTAGATTTAGCTCAGCCAACAGCCACATCACCATTTAAAATCCCAGGATTCATCCAGCGCTCCTCCCTGCCTTCCTCTCGTCTCTTCCTGTTCTCCACAGAGTAAACACTCCACATTCAGCCGAGGTAACGACAGCCAAACGTGTGCAAACACACCCAGATCGACTGAAATGCCGTCAGTCGGGCATGCATGATTCAAGAGATTTATTGACCTGACATCTGCCTCTGCACGCACAGCAACAATAAGAACAGCACACAGTCGAAAGGAAACTTGCATGCGATATGCATCTAAGATAAAGTCTCCACTCTGACATGTGCTAATCTGAGACACTCTTAAGCACAACCTGCCCTGATGTGTTTCTTGCTGCTGAGCAGTCAATCAGACTCTGTGGAGGAGGGGTTTGCACTGAGATCTTTCTGCTCTGAAACTTGCAGCAGCCACATGGCGGCATTTTGTGCCGAGCCGGCAGAAAACACGAGGGCACCTTCATCATGTAACCCACACATCAGTGTGGGTTCATTAGTCATGATGAGGCCCATTTAGCTTTTGAATTCATTCATTTATCAAAACTAATAAATCTCCACTTGGGATTCTCAAGTCATCTACCAGAGCATCCATCACAGAAGAGGTTTAAACAGGATGTGACCACAGACTGGACATCGACATGGATCTAGCCACTGTTACGCTGCTTTATATCAACTTTCAACTTTATCTTTAAGAGCTGATATCACTGATAATGCTAATCAATAAAGGAGGAGGCAGTTACTTCTACCTAAACCTGCTTTGTTGTTTTTTGTTTTAAGTCATCTTAGATCATGAGTTTAAAATTCTGGTTGTACCATATTTAATTCTTTGTTTCGTGCAGATTTTCATTGTCATTTGGTGGTGTGTATTTGTGTGTGTACAACTGCAGTAAAGCTAAATCCTTCACACAGAGAAACCTGTCAAATAGTACTACATAGTAACCTCCACAGAGAGCAAAACCTTTTCTGTATCAGGATGTAATTGTGTTTATTTCTGCTGTAAACACTTTAACATTGGGAATCTGTGGGGACTGATTTACTGCTGGAGCCTCAAGTGGACATCAGAGGAACTGCAGTGCTGGCTGCACATGCAGGAGTCTCGGGTTTGTTTGGATCGCAGCCACCTGAAGTCTCTGTTCATACATTTTTCCAAGTACTTCAGGTTCACCTTGTAGTTTAAAGCAGCAGGAAGTAGATAAAGGCTGAATCTTTACTTTACTCAAAGCTAACTGAAGCGGAAAAACTGACAGCAGTGTCAAGCCCTATTCAAACCCTTGCACTGGTCCACAGATGACTGAATGAACAAGCCCCATTTCACAGAGTCCGGTGGTTTAAGTGCCCGAGTCTTCCAGTTGTCAGCAGCAAACATGAGCTGAACTAAATGAGCAAATCCACCAGACGGTGTTTAACCAGTAGATGGGTAAGGGCTGAATACTGCCTTGAACACCTTGTTTGTCTGCATTTGTCCCTGTAAAAATCCTCACGGACAGATGGCTCAGTCCATCTGCAATTGGATAACTGCTCACCAGTGCATGCAAGAGCTTCCTGGAAACAAGAGCTGAAGAGTAGTCTTCTTTCTGTGCTCTGCTTCATCAGGAGTGCTTTAGCAATGACGGCTGCCCTCTGGACACCCAGTCACACACGAGTAGACACACCATAGTGCTCATATATCTGTCAACATCAAAAACCAAACTAACACCTAACCAGATCTCCGGTAAATGCAATTAATATTTAATCCATTGTTTTACGTGGATGCCGCCATCACGTGAAGCTTCTGCAGCTACAGGCTCAGATCAGGCAGCTGCTGGCCATCTACTTTTAGACAGTTTGACTTGTTTTGCTTCATTTCGCAGCTTCATTTCACTGTGGGCGGGGCTTACGGATGCAGTCGAAGGATTGGCGGAGCAGACTGGTTCAATTTCAGTTTTCTATTGACAGGAATACAAGAGGTTTCAGAGAAAAGTGTGTGATTACAGGACTTTTTAAGATGTGCAACTGCAGCCTGACTTAGCTTTTCCTCCTTACCTCACTGGCTGAATATTCGTGGGTATGCAACACTGCTGTACTCATGCAAATAACAGGAGGAGAAATCCTGCTTCACCTTTGGTGTGAACGCACCTGTGCCAAATATTTAATGACTGTATATAATGATGATTTCATCTGCAATGTCTCAGTCATGCAGTAATGCTGTGATATACTGTAAAACCACCAGAATACTGCTTATCACTACCAAATAATTATATTTTTTTGCTTTATTTATTAATCACACTGTTTTAATAAACATATCACACTTGATGTCATAGAAAATACTGAGATAGTCCCCGTCACATACTGACATCAAGTCTAAAAACATCCACATCTCAGCCACTCTTCATGTGATGACAGCTTGGTTTGACCAGCTACTCCAGGAAACACATCAGCCTGTTAGATACAGGTTCCCTGATGTGTTTCCTGCAGTAGCTGTACCTACTCTTATCTAAAGCACGGAGAAACAAAGACTACAAGCAAGAGCAATAACTGCATGTTGTGTTGCTTTCATTAAGCTTCATTATTTCAGACAGGAAACCTGCTGACCCTGAGGGATTATGTGAAGAGTGTCTTGGGAGAGCAACATGTGCATTAGCAAAGCAAAAACCAATATCATACATCTCTGTGGTGACGCCACCCTGTCCGTGCGAGTCTTCATTTCTAGGTCAGGAAACATCTCATGAATTTTTTCCAGCTCGCTGCAAAAGGAACGACGTGGCTGCAGGTAGGCAGCTGGAGGCTGCCACAGATGTGGATTTAACCCCCCAAAAAGACTCAATCATTAGGATTTCATGTTTTTATCTGATGACAGCTGCAGGGCTGCTACTTAGTGGGAAAACGTTTGATTTTTTTTTTTTTTTTACCAAAGAAGACATTTGAAGACACCAAAAATTCCTGCATTTCTCATCAGTTTGTAAATTGTGGCATTGGTATTGTGCAAGGTCAAACATATGGCAACACAAGGAAGTCCAAGCTAGTGAAAACTGCAGGGATGTCATTAGTAATTCCAATTTTTAAACAAAATATTTCTTTTGTACTTTATTTGAGGTGAAATATGTTGAAACTTTACAGTATCTCCCATCTTTAAATGACTAAAATTACCTTTTCTTCTTTCCTACAATACTCAGAAGTGAAGGCTTTGTGCCCTATTAGAGTCACAGCCATCTTAAAATCATAATGCAGATTTATTTTTTAATTGTTCGGTTTTTTTTTTTCTTTGTTTTGTTCCGCTAAAACTAGGCCCATCAACTGAAAAAAAATTGGCAGGACTATTGTAATGCGTCATTAACTGGATGTGGATAAATATAAACAGCATAATGTGTCCTTCATTCAATGCTGTGCTGCACTGGTTTTATGTTAAAATACATACATTTAAAAAAATGTTAATGTTGTTTTTTTTGTTGTTGTTGTTTTGGGGGTTTTTTTTTCCGGGAGTTTGTTCGGTTTTTTTAAGTTCAACATAAATAACTTGTGGAGCAGCAGCAGCAACGCTCCAAATGTGACCTGCAGCCTCCTTAGTGAAGGTCACAGTAGAAACCACTAGAACCTGCTCTGCTTCCTCCCCAGCACCGCAGCACTCCTTGTCACAGCAAGCGAAGCTAAAATAAAAACACGTGCATGTGGATGATCGTAGCTCAGTGAGAAGCTGAACCCGGTCTCCTGAAGCCTCGGTGTGGACCTTTTTACCCTCTGCTTCACGGCCTGCTGCTGTTTCACTTTCACAACTGTTGGCCCACGTTGAGTATTATCTCCTCTGGGGCAGGCAGCTAACAGGACAACACCTACAGATTGGTGTGGTCATCTTAAAATTCCGGTAGAGCGGAGGTGCCCTGACGCGGAGTATTTGAAGACGTGAACATTTTTATCGCCACCTTTAACGAAGCCGGTGGAGCGAACACGTCGCACATGGCCCGAGAGCTACTGATGTCCCACACAGGCTACAAGCTAGCTTATTTTTATTTATTTACGGTTTATTTAAAATGTCTTAAATGAAGGGTTAAACCTGTAAAAATCACATTTAAAAAATGAATAAACATTTACATTTTAAATAAAGGGACATTTAATGCGGTCATTAAAAAGTGTTCGCCTCGGTTAGCGGTCGCAGCATCCGCTCGCGTCACGCACAGACGCCAGATGCGACGTCACGTCATGGCAGCGGGCAACCCCGAGATCTTCTAGAATGATTTTACTGAAACCTACTTGTCGCTGTCCGCTTCGCCGCCGGCTCCATCCTTCTTCAGCTGCTCCTCTACCTCCTCGGCTTCGGTTTTCACGCAGTAGGAGCGGAGAGAGGCGGCGCGGGGCGCGGTGCGGAGAGCCGGGCGGTGCGCGGCGGCATTGAGGAGCTTCAGAGGAGCAGATGTGACTCTGGCATCAACGGAGGTGGCGCCGAGGCAGCGGGAGCCTGTCGGCAACCAGGTCTTCTCTCGGTAGACGGGAAAGGGACGCTTGAGGGTGGCTTCAAACAACTCCTTCAGCAGTGTCGAGGACCTAAAATGTAACATCTCAATCCTGTCGGGCAATGAGAGAGAAATTCCTGGTTCCTAATAAATCCGAAAGAATCTGCGAGGCTTCTGAATAGCGATTCGAAACAAGTTGTCTGTCCGAGCGGCGATGACTCACAGACACCGGCTTCCACTAGTATATAGAGCGGAACAGCCACGCCCCTATAGCTTTTTATTGGTGGAAATACAGTTAAGTAATTATGACGTACCCTATCAATTCTTCTTCTGTGTTTTTTTTAAACTGCACCATCGGATATATGACCTATCAATATATGACTAAGTTTTTACAACATGTTTACAGAGAAAAGGTGGCTTAATTACGCTACTTTTACCGGGTTTATTATAATGTTATTAGATTCTTTCATTCCTTATTATTCCGTATCATTATCATTATTATTATTATTGTTGGTGATGGTGGTTTTCTAGTTGTTATTATGATTAAAGGAGATTTGGTGGTTGAATGAGAAAGTACAAGAGAGAATTCGAAGGAAAAGGCGTATAATGAGTTGTATGTGAGGCTGGACGCTAAGGAGCGAGAAAAGGATTTGTATTGATTGGCAGGGCATATGAAGCTGGAGAGGACGTGCAGCAGGTTAGGGTAATTAATCCTAACAGAAATCTACTAATGAGTGACGAGAGTGTGCTGAGATGATGGAAGGAGTACTTTGAGGAGATGGTGAAAGAAGAAAATGAGAGGGGAAGACAGTTTGTGAATCAGGAAGTGCAGAAGATTAGTGAGGAGGATGAAGAGTGGAAAGGTAGCTGGTCCAGATGACATATCTGTGGAGGTTTGAAGGTGTCCAGGAGAGAGGGAAGTTGACTTACAGATGGATAAAGTTGATGCCATGAGGGCATCTTAGAAGAGGATCAACTATTTCCTATGAAGTTATGGGAAATAGTTATTCAAGCTATGTTAAAAAGAAGGGTGAGTATCTTCAAGCAGCAGTATGACTTCAAAGAAAAAGACCTCTACAGATGTGAGGCACGACAAGTATGAGGACAGTGATGTTAAAGTTTTCACTGTGACTGAGCGGGATGGACAGGATTAGAAATGAGTACATCAGAGGTACAGATCAGGCTGAGCAGTTTAAGCATGGAGGAAGAACGAGGAGACTCCAGGCAGGAAAAGAGGAAGCTCAAAGAGAAGATTCATGGATGTCATGAAGGAGCAGATGCAGAGGGCTGATTTGAAAGAGAAGATGATACACTGTGGCACAGTGTAAAAAAAGCATATACTACTACTATTAATAATAATAATAATAATAACAATAAAAAATAATAATAATGATGATGTGTGCATTTCAATGTATTATTATTGTGCTGTACGCAATAATAATATAATAATATTAATAACAATAACAAAATAATAATGATTATTACATATTAGCAATTATGCCTAAAATTATACTTATATAATTCGATTTTAATTAATGATTGCGATTTTGAGCATTTTAATTATTATATAAAATATCATACATATTGAGCCTGCGGAGCCATTGCTTTTCTTCAGGCAAAATTTCAGTGGATTCAGGAAAAAGGCGCAAACTAAGCAAAATGTTCAAATTCAGGGAATCAAGTGTCTAACACTCACTTTTGCGATGAGCACGTAATCTGTAGTTTTATACAGCAATATACAGCTTTAATGTAAGATTTCGGATGCAGAATTAACATCACATTATTTATTTGTTTATTTTTATTTACGTAATAATTCTGCAGCCCGGTACCTGTTGCAGGGAGCATTTCTACCCTCGGTATAGTCTGTCAGGAAAAGCATGCGCAGTTTCTCCAACCCAGTTTGAACCCCCTGGCAGTCAGAACTCAGGGTAGCACGGCCCATCGTCTCCTACGTCCTCCTCAGTGTTCAAACGTCACTTTCAGAAGTTGCCACGAATGCAAAGCGGCATGATGTGGAGGTTACTGAGCTGCACAGTGTGCCTGTTTGTGTCCGCAGGGTTGAGTCTGCGGCCAGTTTGGGCCGCTGAAGAGGAGCTGGACGGAGAAGTGCAGACTGAAGTTTTATTTAAACCCGAGGAGTGCAGCCAAAGGAGCAAGAGAGGAGATCTGATCAATGCTCACTACGATGGGTTCCTCGCCAAAGATGGTTCCCAGTTTTACTGCAGGTCAGTGCTTTGAAAACAGAGTTATGTGTTAGTCCGATGTTAATTTGGAGCGAGTAATGAATGCATACTTAATCCTAAAGTCCTCTTTAATGTGTGTTTAAAATGCTGAAGCTCTATTTAAGCTTTAAGTATATTAAAGTGTAAAGGGATTGGAAACATTCCTCATTTTAAGTTTAAAGCAACCAAAATTAAAGTGCACATTTAGTCAAACTTATTCAAAGATTGTTGATGTTCTTTGTCTCTGCTTTTATTTCTGTTTCAGTCGTACAGACAAAGATGGACAGCCTCA